TAAAGAAAATAACAGTGATGGCAAAGATTGCTTAATGGCAAGAAATGGCAGTGCCAGGAGACCTGTTAAGGTTCCCTCTATGCCAAAAGTGTGATTCTCCTTTAGACGTGGTGAAGAAGCCTATTGCTGCTCGATGTCCAAATGAAGCATTAGTGTTCAGAGCAAAGTTTAAGTTATTCACAGTTTAGACTAAAATCTAAACACTCTCCTTTACAAATAACTGTTAAAAAATAACCTCCAAGCAACTAGTTGAGCATGTAATTTATGGAGTGCCAAGAATGCTAAAATAAATAAAGAATCATTAAATAATAAGAATAATGAGTGCATCATTAAATTCATTAAATCTCATGTTAAATTGGAAATAAAAGTATTAAATATATAATTAAAATGTTAATTCATTTTTAGGAAAAATTAATTATTATTTTTTTCCATGTTTACTGTGATGCACTGCATGATGAATTTATTTCATCCGTCAACCTCACCCATCAGAGTTAGGGGGTGGGGCTAACAATGAAACGGTTAAAACGCTGCTTTAGTCCAGAGTCGATTCCTTTAGATGGCATCTCTCAGTACCAAGTAAAGAGATCGTACATGCATACTTGCTAGTTCTTATTTGGCACGTTCGCTCACGAGTCCAGACTTCTGAAGATGAGAGGACACAGCTGACAGGGAGACGGCAGCATCACCTGCCCTTTACTGTGTACTTAAACAACTACCACAGACCTTCCACGGCACAGGAAAGACTGAGTGGACCGACAGTAACAAGTATTAACAACAAAGTTGGCCATCAGATTTCTTGCAGTGATGTAATAAATGATTTTCCCTCTAAAAAAGCTGGAAAACAAAAATGTTAAGAGGAGGATGAAGTATTGAGGAAAAACAAAAGTCAAATGTTTGGATTCCAATCATTCATTTTCAAATGTAATTCTTCCTGTTTTTACCAAAGTGTTTACACAGTTTTACAGTTTTCAGAACAAATTCTTCTACTTAATTATTCGACTGATTTACAAATCATGTTCCCTTACTGCACCTACCTCTATGAATTTACAGTACTGAAGCATTTCTGATATTTTTTGTATTTTATTTAGTAGTTAGAACTTAAAACATATGAACTAGGTACTGTTTTATTTAAGGGATTTTTTCCTTGTTGTTGCACATTGCTCTTACAGTTTATTTAAAACTAGAAATAATAAAGCAGTTGACGTGTTTCAGGCTGTGACTTTTAGTATCTGTTGGTACTTCATCACTTTAAATAAGTGTAAGTCAACACCAGGCCGCACTTTCAGCACTTTCAGTCTTTCCATTAAACAAATGAACAACAATCCATTATTTTCACCATTAAACAATAAAATATGCTTCTTGACTCCTTGATGCAGGTGCCCACCTACGACCTGGTTTATTAATACTAAGCTATAATAGGAAAGCAACTCACTGTAGTTCTCACAGCTCAGGACAAGAAGACACCTGATGTTGAGTGACTGAATGGAACTAAAACAAGAATTCATAATTATGTTTGTCTGCCATGAACACGTGATGATAAAACTCTGCATATGCAGTCAGGAGACTGATGACCTGTGAAATGAGCTGTTAGAAATGTGCAGATATGTGTAAACATTGATCAGCAATTAACATCCAGGATGGAGCAAAACTTCTGACCTGCATGTGTGAGAACCTTTAATCACATCATCTTTGTAGTGAAATAGCTGATGACTCATTAAACGTTTCCATGTAATTTATCCACAGTGAAAAATATTCACTTTGCTGGATCTGAAAATCACGTGTTCATTTCATTAGACACTAGCAATACTATTAAACTGGACCTTATCATTATCATATAGCATTAAATGTGAAACTGAGTCATATCATAACAATCTATATATGTAATATGTGTTTGCCAGAATCTTCCAGCACAAACAGAAAGAGGAGCTGTTGTCTGAGTATCAACGCAAATACACACCAGAAATCGTTGAGTAAAGACAAATTTAATAAATGAAAGCTGGTGAGAGGGCCTATGATGTTTCTCTTTGGATCCTCCTTCCATTCATTTCTTCAGCTTATCCAATTCAAGATTGGAGCCATCCCAGCTGTTATGGGGC